GGAAAAGGTTGGCAATTTTCCACAGTAAAGCGGCGGTGGATCACGCTCTCTCCAGTATTCGCTGCTTGCGTCTCACTGGAAGGCTTCGGTGGGCAAGCACACGTGGGCGCCAATGCACGTTCTGACCGGCTTCGCCCTAACATGCTGATGCTATGTGTGCGTCTTCCCCCCTGGGGCGACGCGCCCACCGAGGAATCTTCCAGTGGAAGCGCCGCGCCGTGACGGGCGCTTTCTGGCCGTCCGCCTGGGGAAAGGATCTAGTACAAGTCGTTGTGTTATCATGTTCTGGTCGGACGCGCGCCTCCTAAAGAAGGACATGTAGTACTCGTTTCGTTTCGGTTCGTCCTTCGGCCTGAAATCCACCTAGACTTGCGGGACACTTCGCTGGGTGCTCATCATGCATGTGCCAAACGCTCAACCGGCCTACGCACCACTGTCGTGCATTCCGCTGATGCTGCTGCCTCTGCGGAGAAGGAATATGTCCAGGCCTCGAGACATGTGCCTCCCAGGCAATGCACGATCTGAGGATCATCGGGCTCGTACAGTGGAGGCCCATGCCAAGAAACACCCTGCTCGCCTCCAGGGTGCCCTGGGTCTCTCGGGTTCTGATGGCTTTGCGATGGAAAGAGCGACGTCCCCGCACCAAACATCGATGGACGTCTTGGGGTCTCAGGGCTGTGTTCCTCCTCCTCCCCCTCCTCCTCCCCCTCCTCCTACCCCCCCTCCTCCTCCTCCTTCTCCTCCTCCTCCTCCTCTCCTCCTCCTCCTCCTCCTCCTCCCTCCTCCTCCTCCTCCTCCTCCTCCTCCACCCCTCTTTCCTCCTCCTGCCCTACTCCTCCTCCTCCTCCTCCTCCTCCTCCTCTCCCTCTTCCCCTTCTCCTCTTCCTCCTCCTCCTCTGCCTCCATCTCCGTCTCCTCCGCCTCATCTGCCTCCTCCTCCTCCTCCTCCTCCTCCTCCTCCTCCTCCTGGAGGGTCTCTTGTGGACTGGCCCCCGCTGTCGTCGGCCCCTCCCGGGGACATCTGGCGGGCCGCAGCCGCGCTGGCCCGGGCCGCGGCCGCGCGGCGCCCGCGCCGCCAGAGGCGCGCCGGGCGCCCCGCACGGCCGCCCTCCGCGGGAGGGGCGCCCCGCCGCCGCCGGGAGCGCACCCCGCCAATGGAGGACGAGGGGGACAACGAGTTCGTGAGCGAGCAGGCCGGCAGAGGGTGAGGCAATCGCAGACATGGATCAGTCGGGTATAGCCAGGACCCCGGATAAGGGGACCCGGAGAGTGGTAGGGCCCTGGGGCCCCTCAATTGGCCAGATTTACTAAACCAGGTTTGCCGTAACTGGTGTTTTTCGGGTGACGGCAGTTTCTCCGGTTAGTGGAAATGGGACGGGGGGGCGCCCCCGGTACAGATCACTAAACCAGGTTCCTTTAAACCCAGTTCTGCCAACGCCCGAATCAGGGGGGCGTGGATGAGCGGTGGGCCCCGCTTCCAAGGGACAGCGCGGACTTCCGCCGCCGAGCGAGGCGGCGCCGGCCGCATTTTGGGGAGGGCACCTCCCCGGATCCATGGATTTGGGCGACCGCGCGTCAAATCCCTTGGATCGATAATCCATGTTTGCGCGCCCCCGAAAATCATGGGAGCCTGGCATACCCTCGTGATTCTGTCGTTAGCGTCGAGTAGCGTTCATTAGCGCCTGGGAGTCGATGATATAGCGTCGATCTAGCGTCGATTAGCGTCGACTGGCGTCGATTAGCGTCGATTCGCAAGCGCCGACAAGATGGGATGGGAGGCTCCCTTAAGTTGCCACCGAAGAGGGGGGGGAGGTAAGACTCGAGTTCGCCTGCACGCGGGTTTTCCGATGCTTTTTGACGAGCCCGTCCTGGATTTTGGCGGTCCGCAGTGTTCGCGGGGCGCTTGCAGCGGGAGCTCACGTGAAATTTCAGACCGGGTCTCGTCATTTTCCTGGCGGCCGCGTCAGGTCAACCCGAGTCCCCTTAACCCGAGTCTTTCGTCTCCCCGGCAGAGGGAAGGGATGGACAGGGCGGGGAGGTGGGTCGATGAGGACCGTAGAGGATCGAGGAGGAGGAAGGGGGTGGGCGGGGGGGACCGAGGAGAGGGGGGTGCGAGGAGGAGGAGGAGGCGGAGGCGGAGGAGGAGGAGGAGGAGGAGGAGGAGGAGGAGGAGGAGGATGAGGAGGAGGAGGAGGAGGAGGAGGAGGAGGAGCGAGGCGTGAGGCGTGAGGAGCGGGGCCCTTGCTCATCACCCCTTCCTCTGACGTGCTGTTGCGCTGAAAACGCAAAAGGCCGCAAGGCAGAGGAGTTCGGCAAGTGTCTGAATGACCTGCCGTTTCTCTGCCGACAGCGGCATTCCCACCCGTAGACGGCTACAGAAGCTCAGCGACTTGCTGAAGGCATCATGAGAGCTAGGGCTGCGTCGTGGCCCCCGTGCCAGGCCACGGAGATCTATGTAGGCAGACGTAGGTCCAAGCTCGCCGAGTGGATGCTTCGGCTCCGCTGCGAGCCGAACGATATGGCGCAGCAGTTTTGATCACGCAGTAACCGCGCTGTCAAGCAGGTAGCGGGCACGCAGTGGTCGAATATTCATGTGATTTCATGCCAGGCTTGGCTTTCGCATGTGCAGCGACACCCAGGCTGCTGGGCAGCCAGAGCGGCAAGTGAGCAAGGCCACGATTGGGTTAATTCGCAAAGGCGCACTTGGGTGTCTGCGTCCAGCAAGTATTCGAAGACCTTTTCCCAAGAAGGGCGTGGAAAGGTCCACCGATGGAATCAGTCCAGCTGGACCTCCCGCTTCAATCCGACGGGAACGAGGCACCCAACACATACATACGGAAGTCGGCAGGCGGTCTCTTGCGCAGCATGGGTTGCAAAGGCAGCACCGGAAACATTTGATCTTGAGTTACTGTGGCAGCCGGGACAATCCGCCTCCGACGGGCGCATCATCATCCCCATGCTGAACTTGCTCGTGCTCGCTGCGGGGACCCACACTGATCCTCGCTCGCCCTCTCTGCGCGAGGATTCTTGTGGGGACGAGCAAGGAGAGGAGGGGGGAGGGGCGAGGAGGGGGGGGAGCAGCGACGAGGAGTGAGTGCAAGGAGCGAGGAGGAAGGAGTGGGATGAGGAGAACGAGGAGGAGAAGGGGGAGGAAGCGGAGGAGGAGGAGGAAGAGGAGGGAGAGGAGAGGAGGCACGGCGAGCAGAGGAGGGCGGACGAGAGGAGGAGAGGGAGGCGAGGATCATGGGGATGGTGGAGGGGAGGAGGAAAACAGGTAGGAGTATGGGAGGGGGCAGGGAGGAGGAGGAGGAGAACCAATGAAGGCCCAAGACGCATCAACGACGTTGCGAACACCCTGCCTCGAGTTCCTTGCTTCTCATCGGTCCCTGCACGAATTCACGTTTTGCGGGCGGTGGCCCATCAGAAGACAATCGTATGAGAAATTTCAATCCTACAATCACAGCGTTCTTTGGATTTCAACGCCACGGGTCGGTGTGACTTTTGCGTCCCGAAATCTTCCCAGACCGCAATTCTTTGGACGCTGCGTCCTAACAGTCCGTAACCGTGCCAGAACACCATTCTTGGGACAACGACCATGCGAATCCTTCAATATGATACAACTTTTAGGACGAATGTGCGCGGTGCTAAAGCGAGAGCAACAGTTTGAAAAGGAACCAAGTTCCATCCTACAGACTTGTATGACGAACATGCGCGATGCAAAGGCGAGAACATCATGTTGAAAATGACCCGCCCTCCATGTGTGAAACTGCTGCAGATGTTATTAGCGAGCGCGCGCGGCTCTAAGGCGAGAGCCGCATTTGGAAAGGGATCCGCACTCGATTCGTGAAATTGTTGCAAACTGTTTGGCGAGTGTACGCTGCGCTCAGTGAGCCATATTTTGATAACCGCCCGCCCTCCACCGTGAATGTGTTGCAGATGTCAAGCTTCATGCTCATAGATGGCGAGGGAGTCGCAGGCGAAACGCCCAGCCCGCCTCCCCGACACGTCTGGGGGTGCGACAGGTATGCGCCATTGAGAAAAACAGCGGGTGAGGAGGGGAAGGAGGAGGAAGAAGAGAAGAAATGGAGACGAATGACACAACAAATTCCTGAGAGAGCACGTCAATTGAGGAGGCTGAGGATGAGGAGAAGGGATGAGCAGGAGGATGAGGTGGAGGAGAAATAGCGTGTAGCAGGGGCATCTAGTAGAGAAAGAGGGACGAGGGGAGGAGGAACGGGGAGGAAAGAGGGGAGGAGGAGTTGGTGGAAATGAGGTGGGGGGGGCGAGTGTGGGAGAGAAGGAGGATAAGGTTGAGGACTAGAGGGAGGAGGGGCCGGGGGAGTGTGAGAGGCGAAACATGGAAGACGCTTGGGGGCAACGTCCAGTACAGCGAGCAGAGGGTCAACACGTGGTGCACTGCGATGATGGACGATTGCCTGAAGGAGTTCGCCAAGGCGGCCAAGCCCTTCAAGTACGCGGTCACCTGCATCATCATGCAGAAGAACGGCTCCCCGTTGCACACGGGCCTCGCGCTACACAGGGACACGAAGACAGACGGCGTCGCTTGCGTCCAGGTGGCCCTGGCCCATTTTGCTGCCGCCGAGTGCCCCGACCCCCGGATGAGGTCTTCGCGAGGTCTCCGGAGGCCCCCGAGATGCCTCCAGAGGCCCGGCGAGGGCCAGAAATTTGAATCGCCGCGGCGGGTGCTAGGGGATATAGGGGCACACATTGTTCATTTCTAATTATTCGAAGGTTCTTTGATTTTTGGGGGGCAAGATCCTCTCATTTCTAATTCTTCTATCCTGGGCCTTTTACCTTTTCCTGTCCACTAGGGGGCCAGGAACAGTTAGAACGAGCACAATAAGAAACGAGCACGATTAGAAATGAACGACGTGTATAAGTGGTTGCCAAGGTGGTTGTCTGACTTGACCTAGCTCATAACCGGGGCACACATGCCATAAGCTGCGTAGGGTGGGTAACTCCACTGAGTGGGCCAGAACCCACTTAGCTCGCTTCGTCAAAGCCCGAAGGCTGCCTACGACACCCGTAACCCACTTACGAGCTGCGCCGAGCCAGATCTGACCCACTTTGGCCTCCACCGGCAAGCCACCTGCCCCCCCGCGCCGATCCGAGCAACAGAGCCGCCAGAAACGTTCGAGGGGCCACGGGCGACGCTTGGCAGGTGGGCCTCGACACCATGGACGTCATCGTCACGGTCTGCGCCTGCATGATCTGAGGGGGGCCGACCGCGGATGGGCCGCGCCCCGCGGTGGCCGCGCCGCCCTTTGCCGCAGGCGGCCGCCGCGAGACGCGCCCCTTCGCCCGGGGCCGCCCCCTCGGGTGTGTCGAGTGCGGCCGAGCGGCCCGGGCCTCCTGTGCCTCAGCCCTCCACCTCATTCTTCTGGACCCTCCGCCCGAGCCTGCCGCCTCTTTTTCGACACGATCTGCGTGGGCTTCCCTGGACTACGTGAAGGTCCTTACGAGTTTCGATGCATTCTTCCGCACCTTCCGACTTCCTGTTATGCCCACCAAAGAATGTTATGAGAACCTTTTTGTTGTCTTTACGACATATTATTCGAACATCTCTGGCTGATACTGTCTTGTTGTATCACGCCTAGTCTATGTTCTAAAAACAGCGGTGTTGCACTTAAGACATCTTGGAGTTGTAATGGGGGGGCAAACATACAAATTCTGAGGTCCGCGCGGATTTCTTGGATCCGCGCTGGACCCCCCTCCCTCGCGCGCGGAGCGCGCCAGGGGCGGCGCCGGAGGCGCCGCCAGGGGGGTTCCAGCGCCGATCCGACAAACTCGCGCGGACCACCGACTTTTTATGCTTATTTGTTATGTCGTTGTTCGTTCCCCTGTGCAAGAACACTCCGTGGTAGGCCTATAGGAATGCCGGGACGGTCGGTCCCTGTCACATGGAAGGTGGAGGTGGAGGGAGGCGGGGGGGTCCTTCCGAGGCCCCGGCGCCGCGACGAGGCGCCACGGGCGGTGCCGCCCGTGCCATGGGGGGTTTGGGGCCCGCACGACGAAGCGCTCTGGTTACCCAAAAGAGGCGGGGCCGAGTTCGGGGGGCCATGACTCCTCCTCCTCTTTCTCTTCCTCCTCTTTCTCTTCCTCCTCCTCCTCCGCCTCCTCCTCCTCCTCCTCCTCCTCCTCCGCCTCCTCCTCCTCCTCCTCCTCCTCCCCTCTCTCCTCCTCGTCCTCCTCCTCCTCCTCCTCCTCCTCCTCCTCCTCCTCCTCCTCCTCCTCCTCCTCCTCCTCCTCCTCCTCCTCCTCCTCCTCCTCCTCCTCCTCCCCCCCAGAGCAAGGTAGGGCAGAATTCTGGGGGCGGGGACTCCAGTCGAGTCTGCTCCACGGTGTGGCAGCTATTTCGCGTCGTCGGATCTCATCGTGGGCGACTTCTCGCCCCCCACTCCCGCCGACCATTCTGCGACGCAGCACGCCGCTCGGAGCAGGAGGGGAGCTCTCGGGCATGCACCCCTATCGCGGGCTAACTATATTCGAACGCAGCCCTCTCGAGGATGCATGCCCCCCCTGTCGTGTATCCCAGGCGTGAGCCCAACATGTCTGGCCCACTCGAGGACCTCACGAGGCCCGGGAGAGCAGGAGGAGGAGGAGGAGGAGGAGGCGGAGGAGGAGGAGGAGGAGGAGGAGGAGGAGGGGGAGGAGCAGGAGGAGGAGGAGGAGGAGGAGGATGAGGCTCGGCCCGGGCTCGGGAGCCCCCCGGCCTTCTGAGAAGTCTTCTAAGCCACGTCCGAAGACGCAGAAAACTTCTCAGAAGGCCATCGGCCTTCTGAGAAGTGCCGCCGCCTTCTCAAAAGGCCTTATCCTTCTCACTTCCCCCCTCGCCCACCGGCAAGGAGGGACAGGAGGAGGAGGAGGAGGAGGAGGAGGAAGAGGAGGAAGAAGGGGGGAGGAGCGGAGGAAGGGGAGGAGGAGGAGGAGGAGGAGGAGGAGGAGGAGAGAGGAAGGAGGAGCAGGCCTCCTCTTCTCACTTGCCCCCCTCGCTCGCCGCCGAGCCCCGCCCCGAGGCTCGTCCCGGCCTCGCGCCCCGCGGGGCGGAGCGACGGGCCTCGCGTCCTGCTCCCTCCTCCTCCTCCCTCCTCCTCCTCCTCCTCCTCCTCCTCCCCTCCTCCTTCCCCCTCCTCCTCCTTCCTCCTCCTCCTCCTCCTCCTCCTCCTCCCCTCCTCCTTCCTCCTCCTCCTCCTTCCTTCTCCTCCTCTCTCCTCCTCCTCCTCCTCCTCCCTCCTCCCTCCTCCTCCTCCTCATCCCTCTCCTCCTCCTCCTCCTCCTCCTCCTCCTCCTCCTCCTCCTTCTCCTTCTCTTCCTCCTCCTCCTGTGCGCGCCGACGAGTCTCGCTGCCAGAGCGGCGGGCGCTCGAAAAAGTCGCAGCGCCAAGATTTCGAAACATCGCAGCGCCAAGATCTCATGGCTATGAGCTCATCCTGACGTCGGGGCTCTGGGCCTCGAGAGTCTCCGAGCCCCTCCTGGAGAGGCCCTCCTCTGCAACGGCCGGCCGCCCCGCGCTCCACCCCCCCGCACTTCCCCTCGGAACTCGATGTATAGACCCCTTGTGGAACGCAGCCATCCAGCTTTCAATGGTCGCTATTTATGGCCTCTGGGGGCCCTGGCCTGGGGACCGTCCCAAAACGAAGATGGATGACAAGCCGGTCCTGGGGAATAGGTCGAGGCCTCAGGGGGTCGACGTGATGACAAAAATCATGACGTCGGGGTCTGGAACGGGTGGATCCTGGGCGCGAATGTGTGTCTCGGTGGGCGAATCGCGAATCGCCCGCTCTTCTGTCCACGCACCCTTCCGGATGCTCGACTCTGCGGTGGTGGTGGGGGGCCGCACAGGGTATGGTTACGCCGGGGTGTGGTCTGCGATCTGGGTTGCCGGGGCCTGGGGGGCACCACATGGGCCTGCTACAACCACCACCACCATAAGTTGGGGGGAAGGAGGTGGAGGAGGAGGAGGAGGAGGAGGACGAGGACGAGGACCCCCTCTCCCTCCAACTTATGGTGTGGTGGTGGAAAAAACAGGCCCATCACGCCCGATGTTGCCCTCGCCGGGGTCGCGGCGGGAAGCTGTGTCCAGGTCGTTGCCCGCCCCCCAGGGGGTGGCACCACATTCTTGGCACACCACGCCCTTCGGGGTCGCCGAGGCTCGGCGCCCTCCTCCCGCAGGGCCGCGGGGCAAGAAGCCCTCACCTGCAGGGGGGGCCCTCGGACTGTCGCGGATGTGCCTGCTTTCCACCACCACCATAAGTTGGAGGGGGAGGGGGTCCCCGTCCTCCTTGTCCTCCTCCTCCTCCTCCTCCTCCTCCTCCTCCTCCTCCTCGTCCTCCACCTCCCCCCTCCAACTTATGGTGGTGGTGTGGTGGTGGTGGTGGAAAACATGCCCATCAGTCGTTCGACGCCTGGGGCAGCCAGCGGCGCTCGCGCGCCAGAAACCAGCTGCGCGCCAGGGCCCACATCCCAGTAGACGACCCCGGCAGAATCCTGATTGGGCGACGGCACAGCTGCAATAGTACGATTCGGCGGGGGAAGTCCGAATCCCTGCCCTCGCCAATATCAACGAGTCAGGCAGCTCGATGGACGGCGGGGGTGGGGTTCGGAATTCGTTGAGCACGTGGCGAAATCCGAACCCCTACACTTGCCTCCCGTCATTTCAGCACTGCAAACATTCGATATTGCTTTTGCAGGGAGTGCCCAGTGTTTGTTTGCGGTTATGTCATAAAGAGAAAGAGAAGGAGAGGGACAGAGAGTTGATATGATTAATAGAGTTGAGAGGGGGAAGGACAAAGAGAGAGACAGAGAGAGTGAGCCCTTGATCTGACCTGTGACTTCGCTTAGAGTGTCCACCGTCGTGCGCCGTTCATCATGATGAGCCTCGTCTTTCGAGTGTGGCACGCATTGGCAGCGTGCTGGTGGCTCTGGTGAGCCGGCCCGGACAGACCGCGCGACCTCGGATGATCTTCTTCACATCTCTGCTTTTGAGAGGCTCGTTTGGGATTGCTCATCTTCTTTATCCCCCTCTTCCACCACCCCTCGCTCTGATCGGCCAGGGTTGGCGGGGCCCCTGATTCCCGAATGCTTTCTCTTTGGACGGGCTTGTAAGTACTTCCTTTCGCGGAGGGTCAGACGCTGTGAGTGCCTCTCAGATGGCTCCGCCAGGATCCAGCTTCATATCTCAATGGAAGCTCGTCCTCCCATTGGGAGGCTCTGGGAGCCTCCTCCGCGTCCTGCGAGTCCTTCCTCCTTGATCCGCCTCCTCGCTTTCGTCTTTAATCCTGCGGTTCCTTTGTCCTCCCCATCGTCTCTGTTGTTCTCCTCACTCTCGAGCGAACAATGCGAGGGCGGGAAAACACGTAGCTCCCTTGCTATCGGCTGGAAGAGCCCAGAAGGCTTAGAGTATACATTTGTGACCCGCTGGCTGAGGAGTGGAGGAGGAGAGTGACGACGATCATGATGAGGATTCTGATGATGAGCATGATAGTGATGAGACTGGTGGTGATCATGGCGATGACGATGACGGCGATGATAACGACGACGGTGGTGGTGACGACGACGACCACGACGACAAGGAGGAGTAGGAGGAGAAAATGCCCGATCACGACCCCAGTGATTCGACGAACGGCCGTCGGCGTTGGCGTGCCGCTCGTTTGTGGATTGCGGATGTCTGCCAGGATCTGAAGGAGTGAACCGACGACTCTCCAAGTGTAGGAGATGTGCTGCCAGGATCCAGGGGTGCACTGATCTGATCGTTGGAGTTGGCTTCTGTCTTGGTATCTGTCGGGGACATACATTGCCAGTGGCGGGCTGTTTCTCAATCGCAGGACTTTTTGAGGGTTGGGGACGACGTCGGGGCGGTGTGGTGTATACTTGTTGTTCCGTTTCCCAGGGACCAGCGAAATTCATATATATATATATATATATATATATATAGTCCAGGGTCCCGTATACACCATAATCCGCTTTCCTGTGCCAGTTTCGGTGCAGGGCCAGAACAAGCGTCGGTGTATAGAGTTCGGTTCCCTAATCTGACTGCGTTGATCTGAGTGCACTGATCTGATCTGACTGTTGGATCTGTGCCAACGGTGGCCCCCTCGATGATGCTGGGATCGTGGCGCCATGCCTCAGTTGCCGGCCGCGGTGCTGGTGCCAAGGTCGCGCCAGAGTGGGGAGGACGACCTGATAGCCGTGCTGGCCAAGCTCTCCTACGGGCTC